CGTGACCCCGAGCGGGGGGACTCAGAGGAGGGCTCGCTCAGCCTGCGGGCCCCGCGCGCCGGGCGTCCCTCGGCCCCTCCCGCCGTGGACGCGGGGTCTCCCTCCGGCCGCCCTGTTCGGTTAGCGCGCCTCCCGTGCAGACGCCGCTCGTCCGGACCGGCCTCCCGCCTGCAGGACTCGCGCTCGTCCTGGGACGCGCTCCCGTGCAGGGACCCGCGGGCCCGTCCTGGGACAGCACGTTGCCACTCGGTTGCAGGTGCGCCGCGGTCTCTGCAGGTGTCAGGGCCTGCGGTGTGGTGTACGTGGTGATCTCGCGGCTGGGGGAGATGCAGCCAAGGGATCGCAACCTACAGCTGCGGCTCCAGACGCCGGCCACTGTCGCCGCCCCATGGGAGGACGAGCCGGTGCGCGCGATCGCGGCGGGTGCGGAGCCCGGGCGGGCGGAGATGTCCCTCGCTCCGCACGGCGCCGCTTACGCGGGCTGCTCCGAGCCCCCGGGGGGGGGGGGAGAGCGCGGGGGTGATGTTGACGGGACCCACGGCCGGCAGGGTGCACAGGCTTTAGGGGCAGAACAGTGCCGAGGGGGCCGCCTGGATCGTCGCTCTCACCTGCCCATTCCCTTAGGGTGGGCGCTGCCATCCTGCCCGACGCGAGCCGGATGGAGGAGTTAACCTGATGTTTGCGGTTCGGGGTCAACGCTCCGCTCTTCGGCCGCGTGCGGTCCCTGTCCCGCCAAACAAAACCACACAAACCCACCGACACAAAAAAAACAAAAATACACAAAGCACCTCTAATCCTAGCACTCTGGGAGCGGCGGATAGCTCAGCGCAGAATTGAGAACCAGCCTGAGCCAAATGAGCAAGATCCCGTCTTACTATAAATAGAAAGAATTAATTGGCCAACCTATATATATAAAAAAAAATTAGCCGTGCATGGTGCGCATGCCTGTAGACCTCAGCTACTCGGGAGGCTGAGGGAGAGAATCCTTTGAGCCAGAGTTAGTTGCTGTGAGCTAATTGCGACACCGAGGCACTCACTCTAGCCTGTGCAAAAAAGCGAGATTTGCTGTCTCAAAAAAAAAAAAAAAGAATGGATAGCATCGAGACCCCCTCCTCTGGGGGTGTGACATCACACTGCTCTTTACCAATTAATAAGCAAAACACTGAAAAGGTCGCGCTTCTGCCCCTACAGAGCTGAGGGGCTGACAGTCTGCCTGTCTACCACCCGGGAGCCCAGGAACAGGCACAGAGCGTCCGGCAATTAAAGCAGGGTGGCATGCGTACACAGCTTGGCATTATGCTCAGCAAGTCACGGTCGGTATTTTCTTCGTGATCCGTGCCGGGAGGTTGGTGCACAGTCTGACATGCATCTGGCAGCATGCTGGCGTCTCTTGTACCTATAGTTGTCACCTGTCCTTGGATTCCCCTCTATCCATACCTGGTATGTTTTGGGATATCGTGGAGATGGATCGACGTTGTGTGTGTGTGTGGAGAGAGAGGAGGACAGGACTAGGTCTACACAGCTCTCAAGGGGAATTGATGTGCTGCAGGGGCACTTACGCACAGTGAACACAGCACACACGCTCAGGTCCGATCAGACCCTATCTGCCATGTAACGTTGCAACTGAGTGACCTTGAGAAGCTTTAAAAGAATATCTCTGTACTGTCTTTCCCTTGTTTGTTTTTCTTTGGGCCTTTGCTATCAGCTGATTGAGGTAAATGGCAAGCATACAATTGAGAATTTTATGACCATAAGGTACAATACCCATTGAAACTATTCCATTGTCACAGCGAGTGTGAGCAATATCGTCCCTTCCGCATACTGCAGACCCCCCATGTGTTCTGTGAACCTTCCCTCCCAGCCTGCATAACGGCCCGACCAGCAGCCTGTCGAGCCCGCTTTCTGTTGCTAAGATAGCTGTTTTTCCAGAATTTTATATTAAATTCTGTGCAAGCATTTTCTTTCTTTTCTTTTTTTTTTTTGAGACAGAGTCTCGCTTGTTGCCCGGCTAAATGAGTGTACCGTGGCAGTCCAGGCCTACTCACAGCCAACCCAAACGCCTGGGCTCAATCAAGGCTCCTGCACTCACCTCGTCCGAGTAGCGTGGCATAGCGCCACCATGCCCGCTTAAGTTATATAAATATTTTTTTTTTTTAGTTTGGCCAATAATTTTGCTTTCTATTATTGTAAGATGGGTCATTGCTCTTACTCATAATTTCTTTCTATTTATAGTAGAGACGGGGTCTCGCTCTTGCTCAGGCTGGTTTCGAACTCCTGACCATAAGCAATCTGCCTGCCTCCGCCTCCCAGAGTGCTAGGATTACAGGCGGGAGCCACCACGCCCAGCCTGTGCAGCATTTTCTGCCCATATAAAATATTCTTTGACACTGAACATTCAGCATTAACTTACTCGAGAGTCCTGTACTTAGGCCTAATGCCCAACACAGAGAAAGTCATCAAGAAATTGTATCGACTGCACCCTTAGCCACTTATTGGGAAATGGGTTAGAAACACAGACAGTGGTAGTGCTGTTCCAATTTCACCTTTCTTTATCTGCATTTCTGTCTTCCTGATCACTTTCACCTCTCTACAGCTCTCGTTGTTTCCTTCCCATGTGGCTGGGTCTCTCTCAACTCCATTCTCTTCCCTCTTTTATTGTCTGCAAGTCAGTCCCCTTCCAGATACTGTCTCCCCAGGTCCTGCTGCAGTTCTCACCCCCACGAGACGGCAGTAGGAGGGGCTTGAGTGGCGCTTGTGTCCTGGTGGTGGAGCCCTCGTGACTGGGATCAGTGTCCTTTATTTTTATTATTATTATATTTTTTTTATTTATTTTTGAGACAGGTCTTGCTTTGCTGCCCAGGCTAGAGTGAGTGCATGGCATCAGCCTATCACAGCAACTCAAACTCCTGGGCTCAGGCGATCCTCCTGCCTCAGCCTCCCGAGTAGCTGGA